GACGCTCGCGCACAGCACACTGCGGCGGCGAGCGAGGGGGGGAAGTGAGGAGGAGAAGGCCTTCTACGAAGGCGGCGGGCCTTCTCGGAAGTCCTCGCGCCCCTTCTAAGAGGTTTTTGCTGTCTCCGGGGAAGGCTTAGAAAATTTCTCAGAAGGCCGGGGGACTTCCGAGACTACTGAGAAGGCCTTCTCCTTCTCACTTTCCCCCCTCGCTCGCCGCCGAATACTGGGACAGAAGGGCGCTCCGCAACCTCATACCGTCTGGCCGGCGTGGCCCGCTAAAGCGGAATCACGACTAGGAGGAGGGAGGCGGCAGGAAGGGAGGGAGGAGGAGGAGGAGGGAGTAGAGGGGGCAACTGGACGCTCGCACCCAGCGTTCTGGGACAGTAAAGCGCTCCGCACCCTCACACCGTCCCGCGGGCATGGCCCACCGAGGCGGCATCACGGTTCGGAGGAGGGAGGCGGGATAGAGGGAGGGAGGAAGGAAGGTAAGGAGAGATGGGGGGAGGGAGGAGAGGGGGCAACTGGACGACGACGACGACGACGACGACGACGACGACAACGACGACGACGACGCCGACGACAGCGGCCACGACAACGGCGGCGGCAGCGGCGACCGCGATGACGACCACGCCGACGGCGGCGACGGAAACGACGGCGGCGACGGCGGCGACAACGACAACAACGACGACAACGACGACGACGACGAGGACGAGGACGACGACATCGGCGGCGACGCTAGCAACGATCAAGACGACGGCGGCGGCGGCCGCGGAGGCGACCGCGACGACGACCACGACCACGACAGCGGCGAGCACGACAACGACGGCGGCGTCCACCGCGACGACGGCGACAGCGGCAGCGGCGACGGCGGAGACGAATACGACGGCGGCAGCGGTGCCAGCGGCGATGACGCCAACAACAAAAACGTAGAAGATGACGGTGACGACGACGAAGACGACGTCTACCACCACGACGACGGCGACGACGACGACGCCGACGGCGACGACGAGGACGACGACGACGACGACTACGACGACGACGAACAACGGCGGCGCCAGGGACGGCGCCGACGACGACGGCGACGATGACGACAACGACGCCGCCTACAACGACGACGACGATGACGACGACGACGACGACGACGACGACGACGACGACGACGACGACGACGGCGGCGGCGGCGGCGGCGGCGGCGGCGACGACGCCTGCGGTGGCGACGACAACAACAGCGACGACGATGGTCACGACGACGACGACGACGACGCACCTGCGCAGGTAGCGAGGGCAGCAACCAAGACGACGACCACGACGACGACGACGAAGACGACGGCGACGACGACCACGACGACGACGACGACGACGACGACGACGAGGGCGGTGGCGGCGACGACAACGAAAACCACCGCGTCGGGAACAGCGTCGGCGAAGACGATGACGACCAAGGCGGCGCCGACGATGACAACAACAGCGACAGAGACGACGGCAACGCCGGTCTGCGGCGACGGCGGTAGCGACACGACAACCACGCCGACGACGACGACGACAACGACAATGACGACGACGACGACGACCACGACGACGACCACGACGACGACGACGACGACGACGACGAAGACAGCAGTGGCGTCGTTGGCAGCGACCACTACGACGACGACGACGACGACGACGCCGACGCCGACGACGACGACGACGACGACGACGACGACGACGACGACGACGGCCACGACGACGACCACGACGACGACGACGACGACGACGACGACGACGACGACGACGACGGAAACGCCAGCTCGCGGAGACGGCGAAGGCGACCGCGACGACAACGACGACAGCGACGAAGGCGGCGGCGACGACGGCGACGATGACGAAGGCACCGGCGCTAGCAGCGACGACGACGACGACGACGACGACGACAACGACGACGATCACCACCATGTCGCCGACGACGACGACGACGACGACGACGACGACGACGACGACGACAACGCCGACGACGACAGCTGCAGCGGCGGCGTTGGCGGCGACCACTACGACAACAACGACGACGACAACGCCGGCGACGACGACGACGACGACGCTGGAGGCGGAAGCGACGGAAACGACGACGATGACAACGACAACGACGACGACCACCGCCACCACGACAGCAGTGGCGGTGGCGCTGACGACGACGATGATGGCGACGACGACGACGACGACCACGACGACGACGGCGACGACGGCGGAAACGGCGGCGGCCGCGACTGCGGCGATCTCTACGACGACGACGACGACGACGACGACGACGACGACGACGACTACGACGAAGGCGACGGCGACGACGGCGACGACGACGACGACGGCCACGACATCAAGTGGCGACGGCGACGACAACATCAACGCTGGTGACGCCAGCGACGCTGACGACGATGACGACGCCGGCGGCGGAATGCGACCGCGACAACGCCGACGACAAAGACGACAACGGCGACGGCGACGACAATAGCGGCGGCAAGAG